ACCTTCTGTACCCTAATTATATTCGCTATCCACAGCAGGAGTTTTTCAATTAGGAACAGAGACCAATATTAACCAAAACCACAACATAGAGTAGAAAAGGGTAAAACATAAAGGCAAAAGTTTAAGTTTGCCATCTTAAAAATCTTAAAATGTATAGTTAAGATGCACCTACAAAAATCTATTGATCAATGTCGTAAAAAAATCCATTGATCATCACGACATTGATATGTATGATTTATAAAAAACAAATTCTGATCCTAAAAGCAAGTGCATTTTGCAAAATGTTTATGGACCATTTAAGATTTTCATGTGTTTACAGCTCTATTTGATTTGAACCATTTATGAAGTTTACTACTTTATAATTAGTTTCAAGCTCTATTTGATTTGACACCAAAATTATATCTTACAATAAAATTTGGAAGTGCACCTTACTTGGATTGTTTAAGGTGGCAACCTTATATAAACCACACGCAAACATAAAAGATGCCAAAATAACCGATAAAGGGAAAGTAAAGGAAACGTTTACCTTTCCTACAAATTTTTTAAAGACCATTGAAATTAAACCATGCCGCAGTCCAAAACTGTTTTCCTCAAACTTTATGTAGACAAGTGACAAAACATTTTCCTCAAACTTCGTATAGAGCAGTGACAAACCCCAACAATCCAATTTTACATCCAAGGGGGTTGGATGTTCACATATATAAAGGTAGCCATTCTCATTGTATCCCCTTCAAGTTTTTAGTGATCGATAATCTCTACCAAGGATCGTAAGTATGAATAAATAAATAACTTTTAAAAATTTTAAAGTCATAAAAATTTAAAAGTAGCAAAGGGTGTGTAAGGTGTTATCTTACACCATACAAGTGAGGCTCACTGCTAAATTTTGCTGGAAAACGAAGTTCCAGTGTCGAAAACCATACGATGGCTTGAAAATCTATGTTCAGCTCTATTTAAAAATTTACATTTCCAAAGATAATGCAGACCAAAGAGATCTATAAACACTTGAAAAAGATGGAAGTAGAGTGTCCAGATAACGTGTTATAGAGATGCACGCTCTTTAAGACTTCAAATTCTTTTCTATCTATATGTCCATCAATACATCTTGAGATCGAGATGATCAAATGAAAGGTTTCTTGACTTCACAAAATTAATTAATTTTTTTTTACTGATATTTAAGGTCCATCTTCCTTCCTACTGATATTTAAGGTCCATCTTCCTTCCTTACTTCTATATTGCAATCTCATACAAACTATTTCCTTTTCTTAAAATTTTTACACCATGCATTTTAAATTTCAGTTGGATCCCCCTGTTTGACACCCATCTTAGATGTTTGATGGTCATAGAAATGAGTGTTTGATGGTCAGGGGCACATGCATCCCCTGACTTACCAAACATTTTTTTATATGTTATTGTTATTTTTTTATTGGATCACGTTTTTACCCACCCCCCAATCAACACTATTTTCATGCGGGCTCCTTTGAACACCCAATATTTGTATCGATCTTGAATCCAAATTCATAGTGCTCTATGATCTACACTATGATGATCGTGAATATAAAAAATAAAAAATAAAAATATTTCAAAATATTTTTATTAGAATATTTTCCTATCTCTTGGATAGGAATCTTTAGTTGTGGATGTTCATCTTAAAGATGGACATCTGTGATTGTGCGGGCTAGTGAGCACCCACAAAACACTTTTCCTTTTTTATTTTTAAAAGAAATGGTTTAGTCAAAAAAATAGTTCTATTTTTCATTGGAGTTTCTGTTATGGAAAATTGTTTCATGCGGGCTAGACCGTATTTCTATAATATGGGGACCCAAGGTATAAGACGTCTATTTTTCATTTTAAAGATGGATGCAAATAGGTGGTCTATCTAAAAACAATTGAAACCAATGGTTTAAAAACCGGATCGGTGACCCGGATCGGGCTTTTCAAAAACCGATCCGGATAGACGAATCGGCGATCCGGATCGGAATCGA